AAGATGGACGACGTGTCTCCTATTCCTTCCACTACAGAAAAGTGAAGCCAAAGCATCTCAGTATGGCCGCTGCCATCTTGAGTAAATGACGACATTTGGAGCCCGTGTCTGCGCAGTGGAGACAAAGAGTATAGAAGACCTTCTTCTATACTCTTTGGTAGAGATTCATTTGGAGCCCGTGTCTGCGCAGTAGTGTCGTGAGGTGGAGCAAACTCCCGCCCAAACTCCCGCAGACCCAATCAACCATAACAACACGCCCCGTTTTTATAGCATCAAATTGCTAGCTAAAATCAAACTTATCACAAAGACGAACAATTGAACATATATCAGCATGATAACAACTACCTTAAATGACCAAAACCATCTTTCGGAAAATTGTATTGGAAGTCTAATTCTTATTTGTATTTTTTTTGACTCAAGTCCCATTCGTTTACATGGAGAGGGCGGGGTTTATGACCTGTACTGCAGCCAGCCACCGGGGGGCGATCAAAGAGCCTGCAGCTTCACTTTTCAGGACGTGTGAGGCACACCCGGTCAGATGGATCAGACACTTTAGATAGAATAGTGATAACATGACAATGATAATGACATTATAATATATTTTAATTAGGTGGCCAATGCCAATGATCAAATGTGCTTTTAAACTTGAGATTCAGCAGCTTACAACAATAACCAAAATGTGTACACTTGTTTTATTACTTCAAGAGAGAAAACATGCATAAACCACAGCTACTTATGTCCCAATTTATCTTTAAGGATATTCACTGGTGTTTATTTCAATGTTGAGACGATTATTATTTTAGAAGAGCTAAATTATTTTTTAAAAGTAAACCTTTAACAGAAGGCATCATCTCAATAATATAAATAAATCTCCATTTGATACACATTGTATACAATTTGACCCATTTTTATAATGGCTACCTGCAAATGCAGTTTCACTATCCACCAGAAGATGGCAGTCATACCATCTGTTACTGCTAGTGCCAACTACTCAAACCTAAGAGGAAATTTAGGCCTGGTTTCACAGACTAGACTAAACCAGGATTAGGCCATAGTTCAATTAGGAAATTTAAGTAATTTTTATAAATGCGCCTTAGAGAAAGCATTACTGGTGTGCATCCTGAGACAAAACAAAGGCACTGATATATTTTAAGATCAGTCAGTGCAAGTTTCTTTCAGTTGAAACAGCTCAGATTTACATTTTAGTCTGGGACTAGGCTTAAGCCTTGTCTATGAAACCGGGGTATACTGTTAAAACTAAACTAAATTTTAAAACTAAATTTCAGCTAAATTCCATATTTATTTCTGTAGCTTTAAGACTAGGCTGCAATAAAATAGCGACCAATCTCATTTAAATATGATGTAATTTGAATGTCATTATATTGCATTATGTAAGCAAGAATCCCAGTGCTTGCCTTTTTAGTCAAAATATAAATGAAAAGCCACCACAACTCCAGGTGTGTATGAATAATAGAAGCAAATAGTCAAAGAAAAAAAAAATGAAATTTGAATACCTTTTGGTCATGTGACCATCAGGCATTGCATACTTCTTAAACCTTTAAATTGAAATA